CACCACGGACAACTGCAAATACACGTGCGGGTAAGGGTATAAAACGATTGCAACGGCAGGTCAGACATCCACAGGGATAAATAAACACAAAAGAAATGCCACGACTCACAGTCGAACAACGTGAACGAGCCTTAGGTATGGTACAGATGGGAGCCACCCACGCCCATATTGCACGAACCTTCGGTTGCTCCCGTGTTGCCGTTACCAACTTGATGCAACGTTACAGACAGACAGGGCGGACCGCTGACAGGCCAAGAACAGGCAGACCACGCTTCATGATGACCGGTACTTGCGTACCTTGCACCTCCGAAATCGCTTCCTGACAGTGACGTCATCGGCGACAAACGCCTTAGGTCACAGGGTTAGTCGACAGACAGTGGCCAGGAGACTCAGGGCTCATGGAATCAGGGCTTTTAGACCATACAGAGGACAGCTATTGACAGCGCAACATCGTCGTCTGCGATTGAGATGGGACGGACTGTACGACGTTGGCAACGACGTGACTGGCAGAGGGTTGTCTTCACTGACGAAAGTCGATTCTGTATGTTTAGGGCTGATGGAAGACAACGTGTTTACCGCCGAAGGGGTAACACGGCGTGTTGCGTGCAGGAGGTCGTACCATATGGTGGAGGGAGTGTCATGGTGTGGGGAGGGATCTGTGGGCAGGAGAGGACACCGCTGGTCATCGTTGACCCAAACCTTGACAGCTCAGCGTTACATGGATTACATTCTTCGTCCAGTTGTCCTACCATTTCTCCAACAGCAGCCACGTGGTGTCATTTATCAGCATGACAACGCTAGAGCCCATACAGCCAGAATTGTCACTAACTTCCTCGCAGCCAACAACGTCAACGTCCTGCCGTGGCCTGCACGCTCACCCGACATGTGAACACCTCTGGGACTTGATGGATCGTCGTGTTCGACAACGACCACACTCTACAGCGAACGGACAAGAACTGATCCTGGCCCTCCAAGAAGAACGGCGTCAAATCCCACGTGACCTCATCAGACGACTGACTTTTTCTGTGCGTCGAAGAGTTTTTGCGTGTATTGAGGCATTTGGTGGTCACACACGCTACTAATGACTTGTTATTGAACGTGAGCGATTGTTCATGTACTCTGCCTATTGTCCATGATTCTAAAAGCTCGAGTTTTGTACCACACCCAACTTTGGGGGGCTCTGACGTCATTCTCGGTCGCAGTATGATTGTTATTTTCAGTGTTGATTATGTTGATATATTGATCTTCTCAATACACTTTACTTCATGCATGTATGTTTTGTTGTTTTTGAGCAAGAGTGATTTCAAACTCTGGTAAAGTTTCTTTTGGACGTCAGTTTATATAGCATCCCTGAACCAAAGTCAATAACAGCAATTTGACATAATAAGGGAAGGCAAATAGAAATTCAAACATCTAATCGATTTTACAGTTGGTACGAGGGTTGGCTGAAAAGTTTTAAGCCTAAGTGGGATATCTCAATCGGATTGAAACAAACTTTTGCCACCAGCAAGTACAATCATTTAATGAATCATAGACATAAGAACTGCAACTGTAGTGCTATTCTTGTCTTTGTACCAGACCATCTTGTGATCCTACCCATTGAAATCACCAGAAATGGACAAAACTGGCTATAGGACAGTCATCAAGTACCTGCAACTGAAAGGGCTAACTCCAACACAGATACATGCTGACATGGTCTCCACTTTAGGGGATGATGCCCCTTCCTTTTTCACTGTAAAGAAGTGGGCTGCGGAATTCAAGCGTGGCAGAGAGAGCCTTGACGATAACCCGCGTCCAGGAAGGCCTTCAACAGCAACCATTCCGGAAAACATTACCCGGGTGCATGACATGGTTATGGCTGATCGACGATTGACCACTCGACATATTGCCAGTGTTGATGGCATGTCTCATGAGAGGGTTGAGCACATTATCACCAACGAGTTGGGAATGACAAAAGTTTCTGCAAGATGGGTGCCAAAGCTCTTGCCAGCGGATCAGAAACGTGTCAGATTCCTGACGTCCCGTGACAATTTATGCCGTTTTGAAGCAGATCCCGATGATTTTTTGGCCCGATTTGTAAGCATGGATGAGACCTGGATTCATCACTTTCAACCAGAAACCAAAATTCAGTCTAAACAATGAAAGCATCTGGAATCACCAGCCCCCCCAAAAGCCATGTCGGTTCCTTCTGCTGAAAAGGTGATGGCTTCAGTCTTTTGGGATTCCAAGGGTATTCTGCTGATTGACTATCTTGAAAAAGGCCAGACTATCAATGGAAGATATTATGCTAACCTACTGTGACAGTTGCGTGAAGCTATCAAAGCTAAGCGACGGGGAATGCTCACTAAAGGAGTCCTGTTCCACCAAGACAATGCTCCTGTTCACAAATCGGTGGTTGCCATGTCAGCGATCCATGATTGTGGCTTCGAACTCATTGACCATCCCCCTTATTCACCCGATTTTGCCCCGTCAGACTTCCACCTTTTTCCCAAAATGAAAAAGGAACTAGCCGGTCGCCATTTTCCTAGTAATGATGACGTCATTTCCGCTGTGAATGACTTTTTTAGGGTGGCTGAAGAAAATTTCTTCTTGACCGGCATTCAGGCCTTGCAGCAACGCTGGCAAAAGTCTGTAAACCTGGAAGAGGACTATGTGGAGAAATAAATGAAAACCATCGACTTGGAACGGGTCTTTCACAGTCAGACTTAGAACTTTTCAGCCAGCCCTCGTATGTTTTACACTGACACATCACATACGGGGTAGTACGTGTGCAAGCATCGCTCACAACATGCAAGGTTTCATGCGTTAAATCTCCTGCTTAGCCTCTTGGAATTCTATAACCTTCTATCTATCCTAAATTAAATGTGTCGACACAAACACGGTTCCGAACTACGCAAGATATGTTCAAATTGTGAAATACCTTTTAATGCGATTCAAGTCACATGCCTTGTAGATAAAAACTTTGTCATGCATGCTTTAAACCAGGAACGGTCTGTTACTGGTGTTTTCTCACTTTCCAGACCTCTGGCCGGGTAAAATAACACAATGATGTTTAATGTTGTAGTCTGAATTTATTTGCAGCAAGAGTGTACTTTTTTGTTATGTACAGTAAAGTACGGTTTTAACGAACTCAAAGGGACAACTAATTTTAGTTCGTTATAACCGCAGTTCGTTATAGGCATATATACAGCATAACTACAGCAAATAGTCGGGACCAAAAAAAGTAAGTTCGTTATATCCGTAAGTTCGTTATAAGCGTGTTCGTTATAACCGTAGTTTCCTGTAGTTGGTTTCTTTCTGATAGTACATTCCCACATGTAGAGTACAAAAATAAACAAATAAATATAGTTACGGTGATATATATTTATTTATTTATTTTTAAAATACCCGATTGAGTGATTGAGGTAGTGAGTGAGTCTAGCTTAATGCAGTCAACACGCGGCCTACAAATAATCCACCAGTATAAACAGTACTGGTATCACAAATCACTGAAGATCAATTCACAATTTATTACAGTGCGATTACAGATCCACAAGACGTATTACGTAGACGTTTCCCAAGGCTTTATAATTTTCTTCACTCAGCAATATTCCGGCTATATGACGGCGGTCTGTAAATAATCGCGCCTGGACCAGACAATCCAGTGACTGACATCATGAACATCGACCACGCAATTTGGATACGATGACATGCATCAACCAAGTCAGCGAGACTGATCACTCGATCCCGTTAGTCGCCTCTTACGATTAGCATAGTCGCCTCTTACGGGAAGCATAGTCGCCTCTTACGACAAGCATAGTCGCCTCTCATGACAAGCATGGTCGCCTCTTACGACAAGCATAGTCGCCTCTTACGACAAGCAAAGTCGCCTCTTACGACAAGCAAAGTCGCCTCTTACGACAAGCATAGTCGCCTCTCATGACAAGCATGGTCGCCTCTTACGACAAGCATAGTCGCCTCTTACGACAAGCAAAGTCGCCTCTTACGACAAGCAAAGTCGCCTCTTACGACAAGCAAAGTCGCCTCTTACGACAAGCAAAGTCGCCTCTTACGACAAGCAAAGTCGCCTCTTACGACAAGCATAGTCGCCTCTTACGACAAGCATGGTCGCCTCTTACGACAAGCAAAGTCGCCTCTTACGACAAGCAAAGTCGCCTCTTACGACAAGCATAGTCGCCTCTTACGACAAGCAAAGTCGCCTCTTACGACAAGCAAAGTCGCCTCTTACGACAAGCAAAGTCGCCTCTTACGACAAGCAAAGTCGTCTCTTACGACAAGCAAAGTCGCCTCTTACGACAAGCATAGTCGCCTCTCATGACAAGCATGGTCGCCTCTTACGACAAGCAAAGTCGCCTCTTACGACAAGCAAAGTCGCCTCTTACGACAAGCAAAGTCGCCTCTTACGACAAGCAAAGTCGCCTCTTACGACAAGCATGGGTTGCTGACCTATTCCATCCTTGATCTTCACAGGTCAGAGTGTCAGAGTCCGATACTTAACTCAGACAGGGGGTCTTTATTATTGTAACAGTTTTGTGGTAGAAACAAGCTTCTTATATTAAGTAAATGTCCAGTCACATTTTGAGAACATTTATACACATAGAAATGTTGTCATGAAAAGTATTCGTAACAAGGCTTTGTTACATTGTACAATACATAACAAAAATAGTCTAACCTCTGCTTAACATTTTGCTTTGTGCATGTATACTATTATGGGATGGAATCTCACAGTCGGCTGAGTATGATCCTTGGTCACTCATTGAATCGAACACCTGCTACCTAAACACGCAGCTGGATGCCAAATTGAGTGAATGAGTGATTTGGGTTATAACGCCGCTTTGAACAGTATTACTGTTATATCCCGGCGTGTTAGCTTCGTGTGGGAGGAAAGCCTGAAGTGATGCAGTTCTCAGACGTCACTTTACCACGGGTATGGTGCTGAAAACCTGGAAACATAATGGAGGCGAACCGAGATTCGAACCCACAATCATACGTTTCTAGCGTGCACAAGGGACGCAACTCTTCAGAGTGAATTGTGGCTCCTTTGACGACTGGGCCACCTGTCTGGATAAAACATATTTTCATCCAAGATTGGTGATGGTGACAATAATTCAATGGTAACGAGGAAGCATTTTAACAGAAGCATTCATACGAAATCAATCTTTCAATCTTTCAATCAAATCTTTACAACTTTCGTTGTACATTCATTAACACGAACAACCCGGCCATTCATGAACTATTTGCAAACGTTTAATGACTGTTTGTTAGATGATGTTAATTTTCATCTTGATTTTGGATGACTCGAAAGATGTGTTATATAATTTGATATTCACAATTTAGTATCCACAGTTTCACGAGAAATATATACGTCCTTTAATGAAGACTTTGCTCGTCGCATCCACAGTTCCAGACACAGTAAGACAACCCCCATCACCAGGGCTACTCCACCGGCCAGGTAAAACATCAGGAGATAGTCCCCTGTCATGTCTCTGATGGCGCCTGTTAAGGAAGAATTGCAAGTAATAAGTTCATGTATGTGTGCGTGCGTGCGAGCGTTCGTGCGTGAGTGTCTGTGTGCGAGTGCGTAGGGTTGGGTGTAGGTGTGGGTGTAGGTGTGGGGGTGGGGGTGGGGGTGGGGGTGGTGGTGTCTTTTTGTCATTGCTTTTATTTAAAAAACGGCATGGGTAGTGAAATTTTTCTCTCCTCTTTAGAAGGTTACAAATCCCTTTTGGTCACAACATCTGCGGGTCGAAGTGCAACAGGTTGGAAGCAGGGATTTATGTTCTGCCATGTCCAGCGCGTCTTTGGATAGTGGAGCCGAACAAAGTGTTTTGAGTCCAAACACACTCTTTTGTCAGAACAGCCAGCTCGTCAAGTGCACGATATTTGTGTGTGTAAAGCTTCAGGACAAATTAGTTTCTTTCGGAATATTTTTCCACGAATAGATTCATTTAAACAAAATGCCTGGCCCTCCCCCAGATTTTCAAATGAAGGTACCTACCATTCACGGGTCCGCTTAAAATATCGGACAAGCCTGAAAGTCCAAAAAAGAACGACAAAGCCGAGGAATACATAGCGGGACCACACAGTTGATGCACAACAATTGGTATGCACACATCCACCGTACCGATGAAAGCTCCATGACCAATTGCAAGAGCTACCATCACGCCATAATCATGAAAGTAGACGAATGCGAAGGTTAGAGGTGCACAGACAAGCAAGGCTGCAGAGGAAGACAGAAGGGCTGGAATGTGTAGCACCGAGTCCAGTATCCCGCCGAGCAAACTTCCAGCAACGGTTGAGATGGTCAGGGCAGAGAGTAGTAACGACGCAGCCTCGAGTGAGTAACCTCTGTTTTCAGCAATGTCAACGATGAAAACGGACAGTCCAGTGTAAAACATCCATATCGGTAATTGACAAAATAGAAATATTGTGTAAGGTACGTTCTTGAATACGTGAACATTAAACGATTTAGATGTACGCTTGAGGTCCGTTTTCGAAGGTTTGGTCAAGAAAAGAGGCTTCGTCAAACAACGGACCATGAATCCAAGGAGACAAATGTTGAAGTTGACACCTGCTAGGAGGAGAAACAGCCCCCTCCACCTATATGCGTCCAATATAAGTCTGTTAATCTGGGGGTATAGGAAGGACCCAAGTCCTGACCCTGCCGTGATGAGGGCCACACCCATGCCCTTGTTCTTCGTCAGGACTCGGCTCACCACCATATACGACGAGAAAAAGGCGAAACATAGTCCAATACCTGTAATGAGCAGAACACAGAGTATCATGGACTGTCGACAAAAGTCACATTGCTCAATAAGTAATACATATTAAAAGCTACATATGTGTTTTAAGTGTGATGAAATCACACCCATTGTGATACATTTATACACTCAAAATGTACTATGCATCCAAATTTGGAACATGAAATGAATGGGCGATCTTTTTGTTCCAAAGGGCAATAACTTTCCTTTTTAAATGATATAAGCGACGGTCCAGCCTGTCGCTTCCGGTCTGGTTCCCGGATCAATGCGCGCTGCGACAACTAGTGACATGTAGAGACGGAGCCAAGCTAAAGAGTTACCCTGTTGCACCTTCGTTCAAAAAACGGTCGTTTACAATTGAATATTAGCCCTGTTACTGGAAAGAGAGGAGTCCACCAGAAATGGAAGCAACACCAATCTAATTAAAATCACACATTTTACTCCGATGGGATTCCACTCTGTGTGAAGATAAGGGGAGAGAATGTTCTGATCAACCCATCCGCGTCGCTGCTTTTAGAAGTGAGCGAAGCATTCAGACCAGCGTATCTGATTTTTGTCTCTCGAAAAAACCCATCAACAACAAAGAAAATTTGCAAATGTTGATGGATATTGCTAAGGCATGCCATTGTATTATAATGGATATTTGATGTACCCCGTTGTGTCTAAATACCATGTCATCTTCACCCCAAACTGACGACCACCTTGGGTCATTTTCATTTGTACACATCAACATTTCCGATTCGCACTCATCAACCTATAACTGTTTTGGCGGATGCGACGTATCGGCGGAATCATTTTGGAGCAGACAAGACCAAGTCGTCGCAGGTGGTGTGTTGTTATTAATAGTTATTTCAGATTTAGGCATAAATTGTTGGACATTTAGAAGCAGTAATACGCATATGGCAGTTAAGCATACACCAGAAAAAATTCTGAGCATGTCCGACCTAATGACGTGGATATACACTCTTAAAAAAAGAAACGCACAGGTAGTATGTAGTAACATTGACCTGACTACACAAAAAAATCCGGTATATAAATTGGATATTTGTTATTGGAAAATGTTGGTGGCCTGGCCATTATCGATCTGCAATGTTTTAAACGGCATTGTTTTCACACTTGTTAAAAATGTCATGGAGGAAAACAGCAAAATGCACGTGCAAGTTATGGGATTCGTAACTCGTTGTAGTGGCTATAAAAAGGCAAACATAAGCCAAAAATTGGTTATTCAATTGTCAACATTTTTCAAGTTCGAAAATGCCGAGACTCAGCGCTGCCGATCGGAACATCGCCATAGGACGTATCCAAAGAGGGGAATCGCAGTCTTCTGGGGCACGCCACTTCACAGCAACGTTTGCCGCCTTTGTGACCGATACACACAGATCAATTCCATTGCAGACCGTCCGAGAACGGGCCGACCAAGAGTTACCACCCCTGCACAGGATCGCTACATTCGACTGCTCCACCTACGTCATCGCAATGTCACAGCTACGGAGACTGCAGGACGCATCCCTGGTTTGAGGAGGATATCGGACCAGACTGTCAGGAACCATCTTCGCGAGCCTGGAATCCGACCAAGAAGACCAGTTATCTTCCCCGTTTAGCAACAGATCCATCGACTGCGACGCTTGGGTGGTGCCATACCTTACAGCCTTGGAATTTGAGAAAATGGAGACGAGTGTGGTTTATGCGATGAGTCACGATTTCTTCTTCACCGTCAAGATGGAAGACAACGTGTTTAACGTCGTCGAAATGAGCGTTTTGCTCCACATTGTGTACGTGAATTCGACAAGTTCGGTGGCGGTAGTGTCATGGTGTGGTGGGCCATATCCTACACCACGAGATCCGACTTGGTTGTGATTCAAGGAAATTAGACAGTAAATCGCTCAATGAATCAAATTCTTCAACCTCACCTTCTTCCAATCATTGACCGCCAGAGTGAGCTGTTTCAACAGGACAACGCTCCACCGCACACAGCTAGAGTCGCGGTAGACTACCTTCATAATGCCAACATCAACCTCATGTCCTGGCCGTCGAGATCTCCAGATGTCAACCTAATCGAACACCTCTGGGACGAACTCGATCGACGTGTACGTCAACGTCAGAACACGCCACAGACACTCCCACAACTGACCAACGCGTTACAAGAAGAATGGCGCAGAATAGGACCTACACTGACGAGTCACCGTGTTTCGTTTTAACTAGGTGTTCGCAAGTGTAAGTTTATCTAGGACCTACACTGACCTTTTACCGTGTTTCGTTGTAACCAGGTGTTCGCAAGTGTAAGTGTACCTAGGACCTACACTGACGGGTGGCCGTGTTTCGTTTTAACCAGGTGTTCGCAAGTGTATGTTTATCTAGGACCTACACTGACGAGTCACCGTGTTTCGTTGTAACCAGGTGTTAGCAAGTGTAAGTGTACCTAGGACCTACACTGACGGGTGGCCGTGTTTCGTTTTAACCAGGTGTTCGCAAGTGTATGTTTATCTAGGACCTACACTGACGAGTCACCGTGTTTCGTTGTAACCAGGTGTTCGCGAGTGTAAGTTTACATATGACTTATACTGAGGACTCCCCTGTATTGTTGTAATCAGGTGTTCGCTAGAAAAGGTTAACATAGAGCAAACGCATGAAGGGTACCTGTTATAAATCCAACAGTGACGATGAGCACCTCCACGTTAGGGGCAAAGCTAGCCCCCACACATCCTACCAGGGACAACAGGCCTCCTAATATCAAAGAGTTTCCTGGTCCTAGCTTCTGGACTATCGGTCCGCATATCAATGCTGTGGAATACAGTTAAGGGCACGAATTTAGAGTTCATGAATGGAATGAATGAAAATGTATCGACAGTTTATATATAATATATTTTATTTTAATTTATAATAGGATATTTTTTTTTCATTATAAGCCAATGTAAAGTTTGATATATGTAAACGTACATGTAGTGGGCAATGTTTAGGATATATTGTAAGTGCCTTTTTTACATCTGGGAGTAAGTGTGGACCATTGCTGGCCTTATAAACAGCAAATGACGAGTACATGGTTACAGAACGAAGAATGAGGAGTAAAGACCATGAAGGCCCTGAAATATGTTCCGATATTTCAAGTTGATCTAAGTCCCAAATCTGAGAAAGGTGCAAGGTCCAAACTATTCCATGTTACTGTCCAATGACAAGCCGTTTTGAGGTCACGTGATATGGAGAACTAAGCAGACAGTTGAAGTTATTTTCCATTGTTTCACGCTCAAATATGGTATTACAAAGCATAAAAGATATTCAACAATATGATATTATGATATTACGTTTTCATTTAAAATAAATAAAATAGACTTAACTTACAAGATAGTCAGTTATGCCATTTCAATGTCAAAAGGAGTTAGAAAGGTGTAAAAATGTTTTCAGCTACAAAACAAGATACGTTTTTATTTAAAGCTATGAGCCTGAATTAATAGAGATGAGCGCAAAGAGAAAAAGTGTTGGGGAGCATACCCCCTGCGTATATAAAGCCAATACACAACGACTGCATCAGTGACGTCTGTGCACGGGTGGTGTTGAAGACATCAAGGATTTGGACAAACACGACTCCCAAACCGAGGGAGAAACCGATACACAGGAAGCTTGTGCACATACAGCAAGCAAGTGCTATCGCCTTGGCACATGACGTCAGTTCCGGTGTCCGAGCACTGTGATAAAAACAACGATCAAATAGATAATAAGACATTGATGTCATTTTGACAACTTTATACAATATCCACTGCGACTTGGTGAAACGTTGGTTTAAGAACACTAGCATGTTCTGGATAATTTGATACGATGCGAAGAAACAGAGGAACCATTTCAAAGAGTAGTTAAATCGCTAATAGTTAACAATTGCCGAGGAACAATTTGATTTCTGTATTTTACATGAGTATGTCAGAGCAAAACACATGCGTACATAAATACAAATACAGGATACGAGTTTAAACAATAGCTATTTTTCAATGAATTATATGGTTAGCGATACTTAAAATATTGCCCATGTAGATGCATATCTTTTACCTCGGTATCTCACTGTGGCCTACAGGCCCTGGTGTCACTTGGGAAGACGTCAATGTTCCTTGGTCAGTTTCCACACGATCCTTTTGATCGGATGCTCCTTCGCGAAACCCTTGCAGCGACCTTGTCTTGTTAGGACTGAATGGAGTCACTTGTGACGTAGACGAGTTTGCTTTGCCAACCCTTGCGAATGAAAGATCAGCAGAATTCAAAGTTGTCAAGATAGAAGTCTTGTTCGCCACAGCCATTTCTGAAATCAAAATGATTGGGTTCAATCATAGGCCCATACTAAGTGGTCTTTACCGAATGCACCAATGTTGGAATCGCAACCGGGTCTTCGGGCTTCGGGGTGGTGATTCAGCGCTCAAACAACAAGGCTACCCCCCCCCCCCCCCCCTCCCCCCCGCTCTTCCCCCCGCCAATATTACAGTAGAGACGTCTATAGGTAATTTCTGATTTGAATATAAGTACGCGCAATTTTATTTTTTTCGATTAGTATCGATATTTGTCAGTGTGTGCATAATGTAGGGCCCCGCCTTAGAATGGGCCACGACCATTTGCAATTATATAGCAATCAGTGGAAGAAATAGTTTCACAATAACAAAAGCCAGAACATGTTAGTTATCGCTACGTTCAGTGACAGAATATATTACGATAGGCTATCTCAAAGAACTCAAAACATACCTTTTCGGAAATATTAGTGACTGTAAAACTGAATTTGTATGTCATTCATAGAATGTCTCCTGCAGTATTATTGCCGCAATATTAACGAAGGCGGCGTAAAACCATATTCACTCATCCATGGACAATTACTCTCAGTTTATCATTCTAAATGTAGCGCTAAGAAGTAACTGTAACGTCACAGTACTGACAAAGTAACGTCAATGTCAGACTTAAAGAGCAACTATTTCTTATATGAGATATCACAATCATGTACAACCCTCATTAAGGATGTTGATACAATGTACAAGCTTCAAACATATTTACGCAAATTTTTAAAATGATGTCTCCCTGAATAGAATCCGAACTTGGAAATGTCGGACAAGACCATTTTACGAACAGGTGGGTTAAGTTTTGAATTTCCCGGATAGTCTCACATTTCCCCCGTCAATCATCTGTACCTTTTCTCCTATTATAGCTAAAATGGATAGAATTATCAGTAAACCGCCCGCGTGTTATCAAAAATCAGCGGGCCACTGTAACTTAATAATGCCCCCATATGGCTTGACGACGGGCCTTTATCACGCCCGTTGTTAGGTGACGTCATAGGGTAGGCATAGGTGACGTCACGTTCAATAGTGACGTCATCTGGTTTGTTCTATGACGTTTCCATATTTGTAAAAGTGGGTCAGTGACATTTGTGTTGATAGCAGTAAATGTTTCAAAACCGATATTCTTGTTTCTTTTTATTTGATACAAAATTCCATCCATTTTAGCTATAATAACGGTAACGCTATTTTTCAGGGCATTATCATTTGCAGAAGCCCTCGGTCTTTTCAACTGCCCTCCTTCGTCGGGATGTTAATGGAAGACCTCGGGCTTCTGCAAATGATAGTGCCCTGAAAAATAGCGTTACCCTTGTAATAACGATTCTCATATCGCTCCCACTTTTAGATGCGATTGTTCGGCCACTGCGTTCATCTGCGTAGCCAAACTACATATATGGGGGACAAATTACTAGACACTTCCCTCTAACAAACAAGTAGAGATTGCTGCAGAGCATCAATAGCTCCCGCCATATAATGTTATGTGCAGAGGAAGGAAGTGTAAGCTATGGGAGGAGATAATTTGTGTTAAGTACAAATTGGTTGTTATTAATGTACTTATCTTTTGAAAGCACAATAAAAGAAGCAGTGTCTTTAATTGGTCAGCACAAAGAAAACCCAGGCAAGAAAACTAGGCCTGTCAGGCAAAACTTGATGTATAACCACTATTAGTACCAATAACAAAAATCCTATATAGATAACAACAAATGTCACTCTAAAGCATGCTTTTGCAGCAAATATCAATATTTCTGGTCAAAATGTTGGTTGGGTTAAATAAAGCAAACTTTTAAAATAGTAAACACAAAAAATGTAATGAATACACTCTAAATATACTTCAGTTCAAATGTAAAAATTCACGCAATCATTAATGGATTCCCATTTATCTAGCAGCAAGTTAGGAACATACAGTTTGGTCACGTTATCTATAAATATTGAGAATTATCTTACATATTGTAAAAACAAAGGCCATAGGTCACTTTTCTCAAAACTTCGTTTAAGTAATCACAAACTAAAAATTGAAAAAATTGTAGATATACAAAAACACCAACCCCATTTGAACAACGTCTCTGTGAAACATGTGATGTCTCAGAAGATGAACAACATTACGCACTGTCTTACATAATACAACCAAGAAAAGAGAATCACAAATAATCCCCAATCATGATAAAGAATTTGGTACACTCTGTTAAAAGGAGCAGATTCTTAATAAGTTTACCAACAGTTATCCAGAAACAACTTCCAAGATCTGTTAACATATCAACAATTACAAACAAATTCCTTGTACATGTGTGTACTACATTACCATAGTTTTGCTCAATTCTCATATTGTTTCCATATCATTATAAAACACTTGTTTTAGAAATTAAATTCCACCTCTTTTGAATGTTGAATGTTCCTGTGTTTTTTAATTGTCGTTTATTGTGCATGTATTTTGTAGTTTGTGATTGTGCAATATTGCCACTGTTTCTTCATGGAATGTTCAGCAATACATATCTCATCTAAAACATCTTTGTTGTATAATAGTTTCTTACAGTTGTTTACGGGGGCATGGTTGGCCCAGTCGCCGAAGGCGCTGCAATTCGCTATGCAGAGCTGTGTCCCTTGGGCACGCCAGAAACCTATGACAGTGTGTTTGAATCTCGGTTCGCCCCGATTTTGTTGTCAGCACAAAACCCTTGCTCGTTGGTTTCACCAAAGTGGTGAATGTCTAAGACCTGCATCACTTCAGACTTTTATCCCACATAAAGCTGACACGGAATACTATTCAAGACGGCGATAAACCTAACTACCTCACTCACTCTTGTGTATGGTTCCGTTTGGTTAACTGGGTTTGTGTTGTGATTGCTTCCGGCTTAGATTGGAAATTTGTTTAGAAGAATGTTACTATGTTCAACACAATCATCGTGAAGATATCACGCAACCGTATTATCTTTTTGGAAAATAATTGCAAACTACAGACCAACCTGTTGATTTCCTATGTATCCAGAAGCAAAGAACATATACGGGTGTATGATCTCTGCTGGAAGTTAATTTTTTTTGTCAAAGCAATAAACCATGCAGAAACGTAAACCGCCGCATGAAACGGTATGTACCATACATTACATACACTGAAGTATTTAAAACGATGCTGTGCTCAACTATGCACAGCAAGCGCCATGATTATGAAGACAACTAATAAAAAATTTCTCATATCAAACCCGTTGTTTTACATGTGTTGTTTATTGAAGAAAGTCATACTTTATAGAAGCCTGTTATTTAATCGTGTTGAACAATATGTTGCAATAGCAGTGTGAAAGTTGAGTGCGCGTGACAGGCTTGGCCTAAATTCCTTCCTGGAACGTTTCTCGATGGCTGCCTGAATAACATACAATACAATGCAAAGGTAGTGCGCAATTGAACTGTTCGGGTAAGGGAGATAATCACTCACTCTCAGTGATACAGCTTGAATAAGATAGGAGGTTCAGCAATGCAAGGTCAGTGCGTGAATTTATCACTTCTATACTACGCCTATAGCTAAAGGAGATAATCGCTCAATGCGCAATAGTTTATTCTTACAAAATATAGACCGGTTAACTTTAGCAAAATGGGATCAATTTTAGCTCTTTTAAAAACAAAATGAACAAATTTCATGGGTTATCAGCATTACGAAAAGTGACTAAGTCTCAAATTAGCAAGACGATTTTGAAGTATCTCTTATTGCTGGAAAAGATAAACATCAACATTTCACGCACATTTCACATGATTTGTATGTTTCGTTTCGGTAACTGTGTGGCTTGAAATTTCAAAGAAACCAACATCTCGACTTACATGCTCCAAAATTAACTCCTACCGTATACTTCCCCGCCTTGGGCGGGGAAGAATAACGTCGTCCAATACATGACGTCATCAAGTTGCGAGGACATAACGTCATGACAGAACATGTTTTATCGTGATATAAACCAGGCTTCGTTCTTTAAAGTTTTCTGCGAGTTATCACGTAGCTATCTTATATTACTCTTTATTGCGTCATTCGTTGCGGTTTCTGTCCAAATCATAATGTCACGCGTTCTTAAGATAATCTAGAGATCGCAACCTAGCATTTTCAACGTAACTTGGTAATGTCAAGCATCTAAAACTTTCTTTCCTTGAGATGAGATTGTCATCTTATGTTAGTAAGGCCCGTGTATCAGTGGCAGGCACTTAATACGTTTTACCAGCTGGTTTGTGTATGAGGTGAGGTGAGGTGAAATTGGGTTTAAAGTCGCGTCCAAGATTATTGCACTTATATAGCGACGTGCATGCACGTGTATGTGTGTGTGTGGCTGCTTGTACTAGTCCGGACTGATGCCGATTTATAGTGCTAGCTCACTGAGATACCATGCGGTATTTTAACATGAAT